CAGGAAGCGTGTCAAAGACTGGAAGGAGATCTCCAACCGTCTCACCGAATCCGAACTTTCTTATCAGTCTGCTCGCTGCATGGATTGTGGTGTTCCCTTCTGCCAATCGGATACCGGATGCCCTATCTCTAACGTCATTCCCAAGTGGAACGACCTCGTTTTCAAGGGTCAATGGCAGGACGCTCTCAACCGACTCCTGTTGACTAATAACTTCCCTGAATTCACTGGTCGTGTTTGTCCGGCCCCTTGCGAAGGTGCATGTGTCTTGGGAATCAACGAGCAGCCTGTTGGTATCAAGAGCATCGAGTGCGCAATCATTGACAAAGTGAGTCAGCGCCCTCATGGACTCGTTGACGTTCATGTACTTACTTTTCCTTAAAGGGTTTCGAGATGGGATGGATGGCCCCGAATCCGCCACAGTTCCGCACTGGAAAGAGGATCGCGATTATTGGATCCGGCCCTGCAGGCCTGGCATGTGCTGACCAATTGAACAAGGCAGGACACACAGTCACAGTCTATGACCGTAATGATCGCATGGGTGGCCTCCTCATGTATGGTATTCCGAAGTATGTCCTATTTTCTCCCTGTTCTGTTGAATTGGAGTTTCTGATGTGATTTACCTCATTAATAGCATGAAACTCGACAAGGCTATCGTGCAGCGTCGATTGGACCTGATGGCTGCCGAGGGAGTGGTAAGTCCGATGGAAGCTTATTGCTTGAGATTTGGCCCTGATATATGCGATGCAGACTTTTGTTCCCAACGCCAATGTCGGGGTAGATGTGGACGTGGAGGACCTCCGATCTGAAAACGATGCTGTTGTCCTCTGCACTGGCGCAACATGGCCCCGTGATCTGCGGATTCCCAATCGCCAGACCGACGGCATTCATTTCGCGATGGAGTACCTCAAGATGAACACCAAGTCGCTTCTTGATTCCGAATTAGAGGACAGCAACTACATCAACGCAAAAGGCAAAGATGTCATCGTCATCGGTGGCGGAGATACTGGAAACGACTGTATCGGTACCGCAATGCGCCACGGTGCTAAATCGGTCACCAACTTCGAGTTGCTGCCCCAGCCACCTGCTGCTCGTGGCAGGGACAACCCGTGGCCACAATGGCCGAGGATCTTCAGGACTGACTACGGGCATACCGAGGTTGCGGCCCACTTCGGAAGCGGTATGTTTTCTTGACTACCCTGACCTTGATGATGGTGACTGACAGATCTGCATATAGATCCCCGCGAGTATTGCATCTCCACCAAGGACTTTGTCATTGACGACGAAGGCAAGCTCAAGGGTCTGAACACTGTTCGTGTGGAGTGGACGAAGGACAGTGGAGGTCGTTGGAAGATGGAAGAGGTTCCTGGCTCTGAGAAGTTCTTCCCTGCACAACTCGTCTTTTTGGCACTCGGCTTCTTGGGACCCGAGTCGGAGGCTATCAAGAATCTTGGAGTGAAGCAGGATGCCAGGACCAACATCCAGACCCCACCGAAGGTATGTCTTCCATCATTGATTGCTGCGCATGAAAATGGGCTAATAATAACGCGACGTTCTGTAGAAGTACTCCACTAACGTTGAGGGTGTCTTCGCAGCTGGGGATTGTCGTCGTGGCCAGTCGTTGATCGTCTGGGGTATCAAGTGAGTCCATCTCCATTCGGTGTGGTAAGTCGTCGTTCATGTGCTGATCACCCACTTATAGCGAGGGTCGGGGTGCTGCCGCTGAAATAGACTCATGGCTGATGGGAGCCACGAGGTTACCCAACGATGGTGGTATCAAACAGAGAGTGAGTCCTTTGAAATGTCTTGGTAGCCCTGTCCCAGCACTAAACGCCGACCTTACCACTCAGGTCTTTGTCCCACCCACGAGCAACATGACTGGTAGCAAGATCGTAGAAGTCGTCGCTTAAAAGGATCTAACAACGCCTGGAGCATTTACAAGTACAGTACTACTAAAAGCTATTCCTGTTTGTTTCAATTTGTCTCAACACAACTCGTCCATCATGTATATTGTCTCGCTCATTTGAAGTCCGTATGACTGTATCGTATCGGTTCCTGCTAGCGAAGTATCGTATGGAGTGTATTATAGTCAATAGCATTCATTCATCCCTCCTTGCTTGACTCACACATAGAGAGGAAGTAAGTTTCTGATCAGCAGAGTGGCCCATTGCGAGAAACCAAGGCGATGAGGGGAAATCATGAGCGAAAAGGGAGCAGCTTGAGAGAATCATAGTTAAACAGAAAGAGGAGAGCCTAAGTGAGACGGGATGACGAAGGTATGGCTGTTTAGCATGATCATAACGATTAGATGAGGTTATCTAGTTACTTCAGGTTCCAGTTAATGTCGCACAACGGAGACAAGAGCATAGCCAATAACCAAGTATAACACGTATCAACTAATCTGAGGAATTCGACGAACTATCATCCGTATTGTCATCATCCTTGTCATCGTCTTCGGCATCACCTCCGGTATCGTCTTTGGCAGGTCTTTGGAGAAGCCGAAGTAGGTTTCAATATCGTCCCAAATACGCTGACGTGCCTCTTGATCCATTCTCTCTTGAAATTTCCTGCGCAGATCCGGGTGAAGCTTTGGCCAAACCAAATCTCCTCCTGGTCGCAATGTGTGTAAAGGGATGATGTCTGGCGAGCCACTCCATCCTGGTCTGAATATCAATGCCCCTAAGTGTGGCGAGAACCTGTTCACATGCCGTGGAGTTCCAGCATAACTGTGAACGGTCTCCTACAAACCATTTTTCTACGATGTCGCGCGAAAGGTCCTGTAATTTGGTACGAGCCTACACACAGCGAATGATGTTAGCCGAGGAAACTTGAAACCATTCCGTACTTGAATGTCCGTTGATGAGCCACTCCACCAGCATCTGGCAACCGTTGTAAAGTGATACTGCAAGCCACGTTTGCGGTAAGTCGAGAAGTCGGATAAAGCCGACAACGGATATAAAGTCTTCCCTATTAAAGCTAATGTTCCAGGTGGGTTGTGTCCGTGTCAAAAGAAATCTGTGGTAGGCGTATTAGTAACTCATTACCGACGTGGATTGAAACGAAGCGACGTACTTGACGCCATTATAGAATGCCATATTCAACAGGATGGCCATACTTATCGCCATATCCGAAGCCTTATCTGAAACCCGTACCGTCGAGCAGTTATCAAACCCTGCGTCCGAGGCCGTGGCCGGTTGGGGGAAAGTAAACATGTCCGCAAATACTCGCGAGTGTTGTGATGACTTTGAATGCTGTCCGACGCGTCACGACGATGATGTTACCGTCCTCATACCATGGTTTGGTGTGGCGTGAGATACAATCTATGGTTTTGAAGATTATACAGACTCGCGAAGGTGAGATGCGCACCCATTGAGGTGGCCATTTCGATCTGTCACTGGCAACTTGAAGTTGCTGGCGCCACGGCTCAACATTTTGATGTTGTATTTGTGTCTGTTTTGCGAGACCTTCCCGATCTCATCTCCTAGGTTCGCCACAATATGCGACGCGTATACAGAGGAACGATTGTCTTCCGCATGTACTAGAGGCTGACTGTGGGAGCCTATACGACGCGGACGGTCACCGAGATTAGCACGTTATACTTGGGATGATCCAATTGAAATTTCTGGATTCTTATATGAAGTAGGTGATGCGACTTGGAGGTACATATGCGGGAATAACGACGGAACAAGATTCAGCAACTATATCTAAAAGATGATGTGCACAAACCGAGTAATGCAGTAAAAAAAATAAGAGGTCCGTCAAGATAGTCATAAATCATTACTCTTCATAAATCCTCACACCTCCCTTTCCCCATTTCTCCAATACAGCCTTCCCCGCGCCGGTTGGCTGGCTGAAAGCCACTTCTCCTTTCCGTGGGTCCAGAGGACACCCGAGGATGAAGTTGTGTGCGGCTGTCGTGAGGAGACGTGACGCGATGCCTATACGACGATGGCTAGAGGAGACGAAGAGGCGGGGAATACCCATAGGTGTGGGCAAAGGTCTTGGGTCAACATAAAGGTTTGTTGCTTCGTCCACAGGGATGAACCGCGGCTGGGTAGGTTCTGAGTCGTTGGTATCTCCTCGCGGCGCGATTGCAGGTGAAGCGATGACGTCAGCAGGCGCAATAGCCATCGCGGTATTGATGCGCTGTGCGACAGCACAGCCTACAATCTTCTCGCGAGACGAAGAACTCGTTTTCGACGGCACAGCCAGGAGAAAGAGGTATACTTTAGAGGTTTGTAGTGCAGAGGGGGACAAGGCAGGTGCAGATAGCGTGAGGTTGATTGTTTCCAGAAGTGTGTTTAGCTGGGATATGCTGGTAAGCATATTGACAACATGTAAAGGTTCGTCACGTACCTTGGCACCAATCTTTCCTCCGATGTCAGGTCGGAAGCAAATAATACGCCCCCTTGCACCATTCTTCAGGCGGATATCGCTGACAAGTTCTTCCACTTTTGCCTTCACCGACTCTCGTTCCTCCTCCTTCCCCCACTCCAAACCCCTCTGCACACGGGCACAGTGCGATCTGTGCAGGCTCTCATCGTCTGGCGCTCCCTTGGTATAAGTCAGATCGCAAAGTGTGCACGTCCGCAAGACCGATGTCTCTAAGGAAAAATGCAACTGTGTAAGCTGTTTCTGCTTCCCTTTGTCCTTCACAAGCGTTTGTTTAGCAGAAACCCGGGGTTTCTTTGCTGAAGGAGCGTTGTGGAAGGAAAGCTGGTCGACCAGTGTGCGTTTCCTCTTTGGGGTTGGTGGAGACGGTGCCAATTCAGATGGAGGTGACGAGGAACGTGCCATGAGATTTGGTCGCATGCCATATGTCTTCTTGACCTTGGTGGCCATGATGATGGTGAGAGAGAAAGATGCGTGAGGCTGAGTCGGATCACTCGCAAACACGCGCTCGACGCGTTCCGGCGCGTTTGCTCCTGTTTGGTCAAACCCGTGAGCGTGTCATGCGGCCGAAAAGATGGGTATATGAAGTATAATTTATCCTAATACATCATGGCCCAATGGTCTAGAGGTAAGATACTTGCTTTGGGTGTTAGGAGTCAATCCTAGGCGCACATGCAAGGGATCCTGGGTTCAATTCCCAGTTGGGCCCATTCTTTTTTATCTTTTTGCTGTCGCTTATTCGTTGTAGTAATTTGTGACTTGTCATCATCATCAGTTTCAATTACCTTCACTTGTGGGTCGGAGACGTTTCACGGTGCAACTTCAAACTTCAAGGCTTCCACGTTTTGTTCAGCGTATCCACATGTCACGGTCGCCTAGCATAACGCTCTGAACGAACTGCCTTCTCGTGGTGCTTCTTCGTCCCAATTTCTCGCTGTCATCAAGATGCCTACAGACACACCTTCAGCAGAGCCACTGGATTCCGAGAGGGTGAATCGCCTATTGCTCAAGTATCTCGAGTACGTGGCCATTCACTTGCGGTCATACACTGGTCATACGTGTGCTCATGCCGGCGGATATCATATGTTACCAGCGACGGGAAGGAGGTCCCCTCGGTACTACAAGAAATTTTGGTCACTCTGCGCAACTCTAACATCGTTCCCCGTGGTGATGAGACAAAATGGGTTCGATTTTGGAACAGATACAACCAGGAAGCCGACGAGTATGATAGGGAGTTTCTGGAGAGATACAAGGAAGATATGAATACAACGATGATTTTTGTGCGTCCTTAGCCTCTGCCCCATACTTCCAACATTAACCTTCCTATATAGTCCGGACTCTTCACTGCTGTCACCGCCACTATTGCAAGCATGTCCATCTCCACCCTCAGCCAAGACCCAAATCTTGTCACGCAAACCATCCTCCTCAATATAGTGCTTCTTCTGAATACCACGGATAGCTCCATGCCTCAGGGTTTACCTATGCCTACATGGGACGGCCCGAGCATTTCCATTATTTGGGCACAGAGGTTTCTCTACCTCAGTCTGGTGTGCAGCTTACTGGTTGCGCTCGGCGCGGTACTTGCTACTCAACGGCTCTCTCGATATAGAGCAGTTGACGAACGCGGTACTGTTGAGGATCGTGGCAAGAGAAGGCAACAGAAATTCGACGGCCTCCAGGCATGGGGATTCCGTGTTTTCCTTGAGACCCTCCCCATCCTCCTCCAATTCTCTCTACTCCTTTTTGGGATCTCAATCTGTGCGTACATGTGGAGTCAGCAGCGCGTCATCGCAGGGGTACTTATATTCACGAATGCCCTCGGCGCATTACTTTGGTTATACACGGTGGTTGTATCCGCGATCTACCCGGAATCGCCGTACGATACGCCGATATCCAACTTACTTGCGTCAAAGAAGAAAACGACCAATGACACCTCTATACCCCCTTCCAACGATGTTAGCTCTTTTGCTGATACATCTTCGACTCATACATCTTCCACCACCACATCTCACGCTCGTTTTTCTACACCGCCCTCGCGTGCCTCCAAATTTATAGCTAAACTGTCGACTCCGCTTCTTGACTCGGTCAACACATGGTGGCAACACATTCAACATCGCCGGTCAGATGTAGAGCAGGCACATTCCGAAGAATCGATGAATATCTCCCCGCGGTATCGCGCTGTCCCGTCCGCGATACAAATTTATATCGTCGGACCTATTCGAACGTCGGCCGTAGCGGCATACCAGTGGTTTTCTAGGCCTATCTCATGCGTCCTCGAAGCGACATCGCGCATATACCTCACGATTCTGAGTCTTTTGTCAGAACTCACCTCTCCAATTGTCGAAGCACATACCAAGCGCCTTGCTCGCAGCTGTCCCACTACAAACGACGTCAGGATAAGTGCATTTTCATGGCTCTTGGAGGTATCGACGGATCCCGAAGTCCATGTCCATGCCTTCTTGATGGTTCCAGAAATGGATTGGACTGATGAAATAATCACACAATCATTCCCCTCCGAACGACTGGACTTCATGCTTGAAAGGCTTGGGGCATGCTTCCAGTCGGATTGCTACCCCAAGGCGGATAGTATTGACAGATTGGTCTCGCTCTGCGCCACTTTCCTTTCTGTCTACTGGCACCTGTACCGTGTCTCTCTGAAATCGACGCATGTCTGGAGTGTAAGATCTGGCCGGGCTTTCCTCAGGAGTCATCGCGGAATTGTAGATGTGCTGAAGAACATGGATCTCAAGGCCCATTCTTTCCCAGCAGAAGATAATTGGATTCTCTACCACGCGTACCTCACGTTTATGCACTTCGATGAGACCAGGGGAGCACGAAAACTCATCAGTATTGTGATCCCAGGCATGCCCGCGCGGAACGCTACCGAGCCTGCTCCACAATCCTCAACCCTCACCGTTCTATCCCGCCTTCGTATCCTAAGTCTCATATACCTTACACAACTCTCGTGGGTGGATTACTGGGACCCTGAGCATTATGCCTCTCTGTTCGCCCAGATCGAAGGATACCACAACCAAGGCGCCGTTGATGCGCCATATTTCTCCCTCTATGCTATGGCGATGCTTTTGGGTCTGAGGACGGATACAATCGGTACTCTGGAATAGTGAGTTATAAGTATCTCGAACATTGCTTACAATATCTGACATCACACAGCCCAGCGAATGTCGGATGGCCAGAAGCGGTAATGTACATTCTGGACAAAATAGCCCATTATCTTCGCTGGAAGGCACAGGAGGAGGAGGCAGAACTGCGAACTGTTCGCATCTTTAGCATGTGGGATGAAGAGAATTATCCTGGTACTCGGACCTCGAAGATACCGTTTACTATCTTGCAAATTCTTCATTCAGCAGTCGGCAAGCTTCCATCAAACCATGATGCTCCGTCGTCACACTTTGACTGGTTGACCGCGTATTTGCCTAGGATCTGTGGCAGTAACGAAGAAACGTTGGAATTGATATTCCAATGCGTCATCAATGCCATTGTTTCCCTTTCTCACACCGTCAATACCCCCTCACGAGCGAATGGCGACTCACTGCATGCCGCCTTCAGCGCTGTTGCGCAGCTCAAGCTACCTCTTGAAAATCACCAGCAGAGTCCGCTCCCGTCCGCTTTCTGCGCGTTCGTTAGGATGCAATACACCGTACTTTCCTTCATTCATACCATCCATACTAGTCCCGACAAGGAGAACCATCCTCCTGATACCAACGTCCCGACGTTCTCCTTTGACTTTTCCGATTGGGATCTGTCGCAACCGCGGATGGTCTTATCCGCAATGTCAGAAGAAGAAAGGGATCTCATCACGAAGCGAGACCATACGTTCATGGATATTCTCTTATTGACGACTGTGGGCAGCTCTGGCATGGCGGCTCGTCGTGTTTGGTTCAGCGACTCCAGAAATGACCACCTGGTTCGTCAATGGATCTACGTCACCCATCGCTGGAAGATCCCTTATCAAGAAGAGCTCCCTGGGAACAAGGATCCCTTTTCCGTGACCTTGCTATTTGACTGCGAGAAAGTCCGCCAGCCAGAAGAATCTCACTGGGGTGAGGATCTGGTCCATGCTCAACAGGTTCTCGTCATCGTATTGTGCCGTACGTGGTATCAACGCCTCAACATCGCAAACGACGACTATCGTCATCTGGTGAATTACAGCGAGGATAGTGACGGTGGTACAAACGACAACTATCAAACAGATTTCGGAGAGTTGGTCGAGAGTACATTGTTCGTCTTGAACATGGATACAAGGCATGCTCTGTTGGTCGAACGATACATCAAGAAGATCCGGAGTTACTTCGTTGGCGAATTCTCTCCTCTCATCCGCAAGCTTGGTTCATCCAGGTCGCCACTCTCTGCAGTACGAGTGGCATTGGAAGCGAAAGTGGACGAGATTGAGAAGATGCAGTTCAATGGCGCAGATCACTTGACGGACCAAGGTGAGAGTTCTAGTTGGTTAACACTAAGCCTTTGATATTGAACGCATTTGTCATTTCGTAGGAAAGATAGTTAGCGAGACGGGAGACAGTGATGGCGCAGAGGATACCGGACGGTTCGATGAAGACCAGGAAGTCGTTTGAGGGACTGGGAGGAAGAGGGGGCGAGGGCCTCAAAACTCAGCGGTAAAGCTTGCGATCGCAGTTAGCAGCCAGGAATTGTGTTCGAATCACGATAGAGCCTTTCTTATGTTCAACAGGCTCCGAATCAATCGCACTTGAAGCTTGAGCTATCGTCGAAATTCAGAATGAATAACCGCCGACACGGATCTGTACATACATATCTTACATATCCAACCGTCCCCGTAGAATACCAATACACATACTTAACTTTATCCCTTCTTTACTTTATCCTCTTGTACGATTTTCTTACCGCGTCCAGGATGTGAAAGTCGCCTGCAATCCGTTAGGGTTTGCGCTCGCGGGAATGATACCCTGCGAGTTAACACTCAATTGGTGTGTAACACCAACGGTGGACACGCTGAAGATGCTGATGGTGGAGCCGCTGTCGACGTTGATAACCTGGTCCTGACATGTGTTGCCGTCGAGGCAAGTCTGTTGGTAGTTCTGGAAGAAACTGTACAAGCCGGCACCTGCATCGCAAGCAATGTATTAATTTTTGGGGAGAACAACGGGCGAGGCAGCTGCGGAGACGTACCGAAGACGAAGATGTTGTGAGAGTTCTGAACGTTCAAGGCCCAGGCGGATTGCTGGCCGGACATGGAGGGATCGTGGAATGCCGAGTTAATGGAGAACGGCGCAGGCGCAGCCGGAGCAGGTTGGTAGTACGGCTGCGAAAATCCCATCAGGTATGTTGCTTCTGGACAGGACGCTACGTCGCTTACCGTCTCGGTTTGGATTAAACCCATGTAGTGATTCTGAGCATTGACCAGACTGTACTGGTACAAAGTGTGGTGCTCAGCTAAATAATAGAGATGTCAAAGGGCAATCCACAATGACCAAAGTAGCAGGAAGACGTACATCCTGTTCCGATCAGCCAGACGGGTCCTTGAGATTCGGACAATATGCCACGCCCACTGAACAGTGTAAGTTGCGTGGATCCGTCCAAATCGTGGTCGGCGAGCCAAACCCAGGTACCTTCAAGATACGCGTTCGACTGAGTTGTCAGATGTAATGCCAGGAAAGCGGCGAAGCAAGCATTGGAGTTTGAGCCAGATGGACAGATGTTCTGTTGGAGGTT